TTTATGTCAAATTAAATCTAAAAACTTGTTATTATAATATTACTTAAAAAGTTACCTGAATCGAGTTGTTTAAATTGTGTTTGGAACTAAAAAACCTGGAACGTCTGAGGTTTCCTGCAACCCCTGAATGCACCATACAGTGTGTTTACTGTACGCCCAAAAAATACTTGTACAAAATACATGCTTTTTGCACCAGAATTCAAGATACATGATTTGTGAATCCAACAAAAACAAAAGAAGAACGTCGGGAACCGCTGAGGTACTGGGATTAAACCAACACAAACTTAATCAATCTGGATTAAAGGTGAATGTTTCGGACTCACGTCTCCAGCCAGCTGTTTGAAAACTCTCCGAAACTGTTTCTCCTCATCGCTCTCGTGAGACTCGGCGAAGTTCAGGGGTCTGCGAGGTGGAGGCTGCACACACACACACACACACACACACACACACACACAAAGAGCCACTGTTAGGACACACTCACACAGATTCCTTCAGTGTGTTTGTTTGCTTATGAAATCTTCCACTGGGAGAAATCAGACAGTCGATTCAATCACAGTAACAAGGTCAAATTAAAGGAGTTTACTCATTACGTAATAACTCACTGAATGAATTTAATTAAATAATGGAACCTGATTCTACAGGATTAATTAGTTTTCTTATAGGATTAAACATTTATGTTGAAATGACTTAATTTACTTCTTTAAAATGAGTCAAACCCAAACCTGGTAAGTAATTCAACCTCACTAAATTAAGTTTAGTGAACTCAAAAACTGTATTTAAATATAAATTGCTTAATGTTTGAGTCAACTTAATTTAATAGTGTTGATTTAACTTACTTAACTTTACACTGGCTGAGCCCATTTAACATTTAACATTTAATAATCGACTAAAATCTGAATGTTAAATGCTTTTTAACAACATACATGGAGCATATTGTCAAATATAACTTCTGAGGGATGTTATAATAAATATAATTGTCTATATAATTCAGGCTAGAGAGAAGAGGAGGAAGAGGAGGAGGAAGAGGAGGAAGAGGAGGATCTTCTTCATCGGGACTGTCGGTACTTACTGGGTCTGAAGGAATAAACTGAGCGGGGTCGATGTTGCTGTAAAGGAACAAAACAAGAGTTAGAAAGCAGCTCTGAGAAGATCAATGTGTGTGTTCAATGGAGAGATACAGTTAGCCTAGCTTAGCACAAACACTGGAAGCAGAGGGAAACTGTTAGCGTAGCTTGTGTAACTCACCTCACGACATTAACGATGCCTCTGATAAAAGAATTCACTTTAAACATTTTTGCCGTCGGTCTGAAACAGAAAGAAAACAAACACAAATTAATTTCCAAATAACAAATAAACAGAAAGTCGACGTTCTTTGATGTTATCAAATGTCTTGTTGTGTCCTAATGAATCACTTTATAAATATATAATCAATAACTTAATATTAATTAACTTTAAGGTGACCAAGAAAGACAGAAATCAATCAATCAATCTAATTAATACAAGTAATTGTTGCAGCCATCAGCTACATTAAATACTGTTCCTGCATCAGTAATATTGATCCAGTAATAAAAAATAAAAACACTTTGTAAGGAATAATACTTTTATTTTGAAAAATTAACACCGATCATTAACATTTTCACTTGTAATTAAGTATTTTAATCTGCTATTTAAACTCAGGATGTCAATACTTCCTCCACTTCCGTCTGACAGTATGATAATTCTATTTTTACACATTAATATATAAATAATTGAACACTGCTGTATTAACCGACTCCCTGAAGGACACTGAATGCCACTCACTGGAAAAACAAAACTCCCCACTCTGATATTCTCATTAGTACTTTTCCACTAATGCAGGCAGAACTGAACAACATGCAAACACCCTCACCTTCACCCAGTGTCAGGTTTCAGCACAGCAAACACTGTAAGCTACATTAAAGGTCCCTGAACACACCTCAGACCTGCACTCACACTATAAAAACACCAACAATGGCAGCTTTTTGTTCTTACTTACTGAGACTTCTGCTTCTAGCCGAGGAGGGAGAGACTGTCAGAGAGACGGGTGAGGAGGAGGTGAAGACACACTGAGGCTGACAGAGAGAGAGTGGGGGAGATATTCAGGCAGGAGGGAGGAGGGCAACTCCCACAACCAGAGTCCACAAAACCAGTTTGGCAGAAAAAGATCTAAGTTCTTTTTCAATGCATCACCAACCCCGCCCAACACACACACACACACAGCCCTGAGGCAGGCTGCTGCAGGTCCTAAAGTCCACTGGATTCCTGCAGCACAGAGGAAAGTACAATAAACACAGTGTGTGGTGCATTCAGGGGTCGACAGTAATGTGGATGTTAAAAGTTATAGAACTGTAA